ACCCAGGGGGCAGGGGCAGAGTCCTCACCCAGCACGGCCACACTGGCCACCCTGGTGCCTTGGTCCTGGGCTTGCTGCCTCCAGGACCGTGACACATGAATTTCCGTTGTTTATAAGCCATCTGGTCAGTGGTGTTTTGTTACAGTGACTCTAAGGGACTGAGACTCGGCCCAGTAGATGAGAAAATGGTCAGAGCTCATGAAATACAAGCCTCTACAGTCTGGATGGATGTCAGGGACATCTGGGGTACAGACCTGTCCTGTGGGATCTGCCGGAGACCCCATGTCAGCCATGATGAGGAGAGGGGTTGATCGGATGATGGAAGCCCTCGGGAGATCCTCTGGGAATCCCAGAACCCAGGAAACTACTGCACAGGCCCACTGCTCAAAGCTGGCCCTGAGGGGGTTTTATATTAAAACAGCTTCCCACTTGCTTCAAGGCTGTCTTGCTGCGCTGTGCAGGCTGTAGTGATCTAGGTCAAGGGAGATCAGATAAATGTTTTCTTATGGTTACAATCACAGTCTAAAAGAATTGTTTGCATTTCTTAGAGTGACATTATTAAGTGCCAGAAATGGTTTAAAAGTAACAAAAGGCCTGGATACAAAAATTGAGCAATGGTGTTGATTTGGCCTCAAATTACCCCTTGTCCTCTTGGAGGAATAACTCATGTCCACTCTGTGTGGCTGGGAGGGGATGTGAGGGACCAGCCGGCCAGCCCGTGCAGCCCGCACAGGTCGGGGCCACGTGGTTGCCCGTCCACCCTCGGCTCCTGGACCCTGGGGAGCGACGCACTATTACCTGCATGAATCTTGTAGGGAACACAGGTGGCTCCCAGGCGCACACAGGCTCCCTGTGCTGAGTGGGTCGGGCACCTCTTACATACCCACTAGGTCTGCAGAACATGCCGCGAGCACACAGTAGGCATTCCAAATGTTCTGATGTGACAGCACATAGGATGTAACACAAGCAGTTACTTTGTAAGAAGCTGAGACCCCAAAAGAACAGCTGCCCCTGCTGCCCAGGAGACGCCCTCAGGCTGTGTTGGAGACTCAAGGGACTGAGAGATGGGACTGGAGAGGCTGTCCCCTCTCCCATCTACTCCCCAGGCCCCAGGTCCCCACCTCTGCAGGGCTGACGGTGAGCACTGCGGGCGACCCTGTGTTAGGAGCACAGCCAGGTGGAGAGCATCCCTTGTCCTTTGCCCGAGATGCAGACCCAGGAGGACTGGCCGCCGGGTTACAGGCTCGACTGGGGCCAAACAGGAGGAGTTGTAACTGGACACGGCTCTCTCCCTGGCGCCTCTTCGGGAGCCTGGGACTGAGCCTTCACTGCCCAGAGCCGTGGAGGGAGCAGGTTCCTGCCAGCGCCCCCACCGGCTGTTATTTCCCCTGGAGGGCGGCCGCACAGCCGGTCCTTTGTCAGGGGAGGGCCCTGCAGCTTCCAGACCCACCGCAAGCTCTGGACTCTGGACAGGAAGGGCTGCGTGACCCTGGAGCAGCTGACGTGTGGGAACCGGGAGGGGCGTACGGGGAGTGACCAGGGGAGCTGCCTCGGTGTCGTGCGTCCCTCCATCCCCTGTCCCTCAGTCCTGCCGCTCCTACCATGGCGCTCCGGGGCCCGCGCCCAGCCGTCATCCCAGAGGACCAGGAGGTCCCCCCAGCGGCCCGTAACGGGGAGCCACGGGGTCTCGGCAGCCAGGATGAGAGGGCTGAGTCCAGGCTGCAGCGCCGGCACAGCGATGTCAGGGTCTACAAGGAGTTCTGTGACTTTTACGCCAAGTTGTGAGTGGCCCCCTCCCGCGCCCCCTCCTGGGGCTGGAGTTCACTGCCTTGGGGTTTGACCTGCACCTTCAGCGGGGCCTCCTCCCAGCACTGGAGGTGGGGGGCGAGAGTGCCCAGGACGGAGTGCAGAAAAGAAGGGAGGAGAGAAGGAATGTGCTGCCTACAGGCAGGAGGAGGGCCCTGCTGACTCCTCCTGGGAGCTGGAGTGGAATCACTGCATCTCCATCTGTGGGTGTGCTTAGCAGGGAAGGGAGTTTACCTGGCCTGAGTCTCTGCTTCCTCCCTCCACTGCCTGTGCTTTCGCAATAGATGTCCCGCTTCTCTTTACCTGAGACAGCAAGCTCCTGACCAGCTCTAACACCAATTGGACCAACACAGTTACACTGTAACCAGAATGCTTGGTGAACTCAAGGTGCTTTGGAGGCTCACATTCCTGCACTTTAATGCTAGAACATAAGTTTCACACACTTTGATAAACAAGGCACTTAAATAACAGAAGGCTCGGTGATGTCAGGTTTTCTGTGTGCGGCTGATTTGTGGAGGCGGATCGGCTGAAACAGTTGTGAGCAGACCATCACCAAGGCTCTCTTGCTCCCCAGGCGTACATTTCCCACCATGGAAATCCTCTTTGAAATATTAGCCTGTTAATTATAACTAATCCAATGACAGCTCACAGTGTTCAGTGTGGTCCTCACTTTACCATCTGGGGGGTATTGGCCATGGGGGGCTGTGCCCCGAGGGTCAGGGCTGTACAAGAACTCTGCATCTTCCACTGAACTTTGCTGTAAACCTAAAACTGCTCAAAAACAGCCCATTAAAATATATATATATATATATATATATATGTGCTAGAGGGTCAGAGAGGAAGGGCAATGTAAGCAGTTGAGTAGGTTGGTGAGATTATTGGTTTGTTTGGGCTTCTTTCCTCAAAGTTTCTGCTAATGTTCTCTTTCCTTTGTCTTCTTGCTTGTTGTTAAAATGAACACTTCTTCAAAAACAGTCTTCTCTCTAAGACTAATTTACTTTTCACGCGTGTGGGGGAAAACTTGCTTTTATAATGTGTCTGTTTTCTAACCACATTCTAATCTGTGAGTATTTGAACTTGAGTGTAAATGGTCTGTAGTGTAATGAGCATAAGTTGGTTAGTGATAAACAATTTGATCTGGGGACCCATTCATAGTCTTAAAAAATATTGAGGTCTCCAAATAGCTCTTGTTTTATCGGTATTTACTGTATTAGAACATAAAACTGAGAAAAATTTTAAGTACTTGTGATTAGTTCACTTAAAATAGCAACGTGCTCATTACACATTAATATTAATTTTATATGAAATATTTCCAAAATGACAAAACCTGGTAGAAAGAGTGACATTGTGTTAACATGTTTGCAAATTGTGTGTCTCAGTAAAGCCATGCCATCTGCCTTCGGTCTTCTGGAAGATGTTGTTTTGAATGAAGTTTATGAAGAAATTGTGGCCCCTGCAGAGACGTGGGGAAGAGGGCACTTTTCCTCACAGATAATGTCACAGATCTGGGAAATTGGGATTCGGGGCACTCCAGGGTTTCTCCTGTAGCTGTTTTGGGATTCTGCTAAAATCACTGAGAAATTCAGTGACTCTTTTGAGAGGATTTTAAATCAGTAACAATGCTTGATGTTTGAGTTTCCAAAGTGGTTTTATAGACTTTTTCTTATTCGACTCTCAGAGCAGTACTGGGCCTGTGGAGGTGGCTGTGGGCCGCTGCACGTTGTCGAGGGGCACCTGTGGATTTTGGTCCCTGTTTGGAGAAGAGGACCAGAACCAAACTGCCCTCATTCATCCAGCTCACAGCAGAGCCGGGTGACAAGGGAGCTGACGACTTCTCTCCCTGATCCCCAGTACTTTTTCAACAACAGATAGAAAGTTCGATGCAGTAGGAGACTTAGGTCAAGTTTGCCAAGTGTCAAGGCCACATCCCTCCCTTCCTTTCCTGGCAACGCTTTAATTGAGTTTTGTTGGTGTGGGGTCATGGACATGGGGTGGGGTGTGAAGTCGACAAAGTAGGATGTTGCTCTGTGAGACCGTTGCCAGGCGAGGGTGGGGTCGTCTTCTGTGGGAGTGGGGGTGAGGTGTGGTCTGTGCAGACCTTGCTAAGGAAGTAGTGAGATGTGGGCTCTGATGGGGACAAGGGAGCAGTCCTCCAAGGGATGGGGGGAACTCTGCCTCCCCCCTGGGGGCTGGGCAGGCTCTGGAAGTTGGCAGTGACTGCCCAAGGAGGGCTGAGTGGGTGTCTGGGGACGCAGACACACAGCGGAGCACATGCTCTGAGTGGGCGTCTGGGTATCTGAAAATAAACTTGCAAATCATGAAGCTGCTGGTCCAGCACCAGCTCTGGCAGGGCCTTCCCCCTGGGGGCTGTCCAAGACTCAACAGTCCTTCCCCGGAGCCCGCAGTCTGGAGAGATCTGATCGGGGGCTCAGTCGGTGCTTTCCCTTTGCTGAACACACCCGAGTGTTCAGGGTCCAGGGGAACCCTCGCTGGTGGCTCCTCAGCCGGGGTCTTGTCATGGTTCCTCTTTCCTGACAGGTCTCTCGGGTCCTGTCGAGCATGATACCGTCATCACATTTTGGCACCTGGGCAGGGGAGCCTGGATTCTGGGCCTGTGCCTCCCTTGAACCAGATGGCTGTGCGAGGCTGGGCTTGTCAGTTTCTGGACCTGCACATCACCGGCTGTAAAATGTTCTCAGGGTGGGAAATTCTGTGGCTTTCAGATCCATCTCCCGATGACCATGTTCAGATCCGTCTCCCAGTATCCATGTTCGGCATTTGTACCCCCGTCGGACTGTAGGACTGAAGGTGCTTTGGCAGGGTCTCACCAGCTGGGGCCTGTATCTGGGTTGTGCCTTCAGCATGTACAGGCTGTGTTGGGGGGCAGTTTAGTGAAGCCGATGTCAGGCCCTCAGTTCAATCCTTTGAGGTGGCTCATGAGGCTCCCTTTCAGCCCTGGCTCTTCACGGGCCAGGCAGCGGGTAGGGTGCCCTCTGGGCTGTTGGCAGGAGGATGCAGGATGTTAGCGAACCAGAGGGTCTGCACCCAGATGCCACATGAGAAAGTGGGCTTGAGACCTTGGGTCACAGGTGAGAAGCCGGCTTTATGGACAAGGCACGGTTGTTGTGACCCCAGCCCAAGCTCTCAGGAAGGGCTGCCATCTGTGACCCATGTCCCCTGTCTGTCTGTTGCAGCAACATGGCCAACGCCCTGGCCAACGCCAGCTGCGAGCGCTGCCGGGGCGGCTTTGCGCCCGCTGAGAAGATTGTCAACAGCAATGGCGAGCTCTACCATGAGCAGTGCTTCGTGTGCGCCCAGTGCTTCCAGCAGTTCCCAGAGGGCCTCTTCTATGAGGTGGGTGCGGGTGAGCTGCGGGGGCGGGGCAGTGATGCTGGGGGGTTGGGGGGATTGGGCAGTGATACTGGGTGGAGGGGGCGGGGAGAGAGGGCCTGGGCAGTGATGCTCGGTTGTGGTGGGGGCTGGGCAGTAACAGTGGCAGCCCTGTGGATGCCCCCCAGCACCTGTGTACTAAAGGGGCTCTTGTTTGTGGAGTGGGGACACCCCATCTTATCCTGTTCTTCTCAGTGTCTCCTCTTCTTTCCCAAACACCTATTCTTCCTGGTCCTATGGTTGTTACCATGGGCGCTGGGCACAAGTGTGTTCATGCTGACTGTCCTGAAATGCCCCCTCACGTCTGCTTTGGGGCTGGTCCTGGGACGGCCTCAATCTGGGAGTGAGGGCAACAGTGTGTGTGTGTATATCTGTGTCTGTATGTGTCTGTGTATATCTGTGTGTGTGGTGTGTGTCTGTGTGTGGTCTGTGTGTGTGGCTGTGTGTGACTGTGCATGTGTCTGTGTGTGAGTGCGTGCCTGTGTGATCACCTCCTTGTGCGTCTGCACACATGTGGTGATATGTGTACACAGTTATGTGACACCCAGAGGTGGCTGCTGTTTGGTTTCTCCTCCTGCAGATTTTAAACTTTTCCTGTTTTACAGGCCATTCCTGAGGAAGGAAAGGTGACTTTTAAAGGTCATTAGTAAGTCAGTTGTTGGTCAGTCCGACATTGTTTTCCCATAGGAATGGGGCCTGGGAGGGAGGCTCGTGGCCAGCCTGCAGAAGTCATGGGGCCGCAGAGCAGAGCAGTGTGTGTGTCGGGACAAACTCCAGAACACCGTGTTGCTCAGACACATCTATTCAGCTCCTACCGTGTTCCCAGAACACGTGTTCCCTATGACAGAAACCCTCACCATCAGAACAGGAATCTCTCTTTCTGTCAAGGGTGATGGCCTTCAGACTGGTTCTGGGGACCGAGCAGGGCTCTCCAGTCCCTAAGCTGGTGCAGGGGAGGCTGTGGCCCCTGGCGCCCAGGCCCACAGCGCAGCGTCAGGGGTCCAGGGAGCCTGCCCCAAGGAGACCCTGGTCTCCACACTTGTAAAGCCTTTACCTGCCTGATCCTTTTCGAGGCCCAGAGAGGCTGCGTGCCCTTGACAAGAGCAGACCAGTGATGTAATAGGGTTAGAACCCAGTTTGGTCCTCTGATATCTGATATGGTTTTCTTTCCCTGACCTACTATTTTCAGAGCTAAGATTTTTACTGAAATGGGTAGTTATGGCAATGGCCTTAAGAGAGATTCTAAGGAGGAAAAGAGAAGAAGCAGGCTCTTGCTCTCCATGGCCTGCTGTTGCCTCTCCATCACTTTCTTTTTCCCATACTGTGAGAAGGGTACAAGCAGTCCCCCAAATAGAAAGCATTAATAAACTAGATAATGTTGAACTCGAGTCTTCTAGGTGTCAGGCATCCTTATCAGTGGAGGACTGAAATCACTGTGAGGGAAAGAGGGGTCCTGCTTATCTAGGTAGGATATGCTGCTCATGCGAATAATCAAACAGTAAACGCAATTTAACACTTGTAACATGCTTTCCTAAAAACTATTGATCAATTGATAGATTGATTTGGCTGCATCAGAATCTTCACTACGTCATGTGGAATCTTTGATTCTGGTGCAAAGGCTCTCTAGTCGAAGCACGCAGGCTTCGTAGTTGAGGCTCACAGGCTTTGTAGTTATGGCACGTGGGCTTAACTGCTCCTCCACTTGTGGAATCTTCTGGGACCAGGTATCGAACCCATGTCCCCTGCATAACCACTAGAAGACCAGGGAAGTCCCCATACTTACATTTTGATCATTTGTATAGTAATAATTTTTGTAATGGGCTTCCCTTGTGGCTCAGATGGTAAAGAATCCACCTGCAATGCAGGAGACCTGGGTTCAATCCCTGGGTCGGGAAGATACCCTGGAGGATGGCATGGCAACCCACTCCAGTATTCTTGCCTGGAGAATTCCATGGACAGTCCATGGGGTCGCAAAGAGTCGGACACGACTGAGTGACTAAGCACAGCATATCACACAAAAGTATTTACAGTTAAAATATGCTAGAATATTTACTGCCTATAAATTTGTTTTTTCAACATGGGGAGAAGGGTCTGTAGTTCTCCTCCACCCTGCAGGTGGGGTTTGAGCCAAGACCTGGTGAAGCCTGGTGAGCAGGGGGCTCATTGCTCTCTGCAGGTGGAGGGTCACTTCTGGCCTCAGCTGGTCGGGGAGCCTGTCCTGTATCCACACGCAGGTGTGTGGAAGGTGCCAGAGGGTGCCCTTCTGCTTCACAGGCCTCAGGAGGATGATGGATCCTGGGGCTATCTCCTACTCACGAGGGGCGGTACTTTCTGTTTCAGTTTGAAGGAAGGAAGTACTGTGAACATGACTTCCAGATGCTCTTTGCTCCTTGCTGTCATCAGTGTGGTAAGTGTTGATGCCCAACCTGACGTAAAAAGTGAGTTTCCTTCTGCAGAACTTCCTCCCACGAGCTGCGTAGGAGGGAGAGTTGTCAGGTGCTTGTCAGCCGCACTCCCTGTCATCGAGGTTAACCACCTGGGAGAGTCCCAACCTGAGAGCACCACTTCTCATGGCCCGAAGGGTGACTGACCCCAGGACCTGCCAGGCTTCCATGCAATTCCCTTTTGTCAGTGCAGTCGGTGGGGGGCAGCAGGGACCTCGAGAGGCACAGAGATGGCCTGCCGGTCACACAGCCGGAGAACCTGGGATTAGCAAGTAGATGCTGAGAAGGCTGGATGCAGGAAGAAGTTAAGTCTGCGTCACAAGAAAGCAGGCTGTGAATTTCTGTTTTCTGTGCCCATGACCTGATATAACCACAGGCCTCAGAGAGGGAGAGCCCACACCTTGTTTAGAAAAGGAGAACAGACCCAGAGATGAGACAAGATGGCCCAAGAATGTGTCTGCAGGGCCAAACACAAGGGCTCAGGGGACATGGAGGCGTTTTTCTAACGCAGAGCCTCCTGTGGGGTCTTAGCACAGGGAGAATGCTTTCACAGGGCCGTGGGCAGGGAGGCCGAGCTGCGGCCTGAGTGTCCCTCCTACAGGTGAATTCATCATCGGCCGGGTGATCAAAGCCATGAACAACAGCTGGCACCCCGAGTGCTTCCGCTGCGACCTCTGCCAGGAGGTCCTGGCTGACATCGGTTTCGTGAAGAACGCCGGGAGGTACGAGCAGGGCACCGGTCCCCACAAGGCAGGTGGGTGGGTGGGCAGGGTGGTGCCGCAGGGTCACCTGTGCTCCCAGGTCATGCACGGGCAGTGTGGTGTGGCCGGGCCTGTGGGGGGCACCCTGGCATTGTCCTGCATCTGGCACAGCTGCCAGGGGGGTCTTTTAAGCGCTACCTGATCATCCGGGTGGGAGTAAGTAGCTTCCTGTGGAAAGTGGGGCTTGGTTCTGCTCTTGAAACTCAGCAGTGATTGTTAAGAAACGGTCTTTTGAATTTTTTTGCATAAATATGGGAAACTTTTTTTTTTTTAATTATTAGAAGAACGTTGGATTTTAAATATCAGCTTCTATGGCTCTGTTTAGGCACCTGTGTCGCCCCTGTCATAACCGGGAGAAAGCCCGGGGCCTCGGCAAATACATCTGCCAGAAGTGCCACGCCATCATCGACGAGCAGCCCCTGATATTCAAGAATGACCCCTACCATCCAGACCACTTCAACTGCGCCAACTGTGGGTAGGCCCGCGTTCTCTTGCTTACTGTACAGACAGTGGAAATAAATTAATGCACTGACCTGGGTATTATGTTACTCCAGCACCCAAACTGGTTTTCTTCAGCTTTTAATCTGGAAAATGTTAAACCTATAGGAGAGTCAAGAGACTCATACACAGAGAACCCCAGACCCTTCATGAAGTCTCACTGGGTAACATGTTGCCGTGTGTGTGTGTGTGTGTGTGTGTGTACAAATGTGCATAAACATGTACCTTTAACTGTGTGTGCTTAGTCACTCAGTTGTGTCTGACTCTTGTGACACCACAGACTGTAGCCCACCAAGCTCCTCTGTACATGGGATTTCCCAGGCAAGAATACTAGAGTGGGTTGCCATGCCCTCCTCCAGGGGATCTTCCCAACCCAGGGATCAAACCTGTGTCTATCAGCTCATATTAAATATCTCCAGTGATCCCCACAGCTGTTTTTCATCACATTGTTTTTAATACAGGGTCCCCCTCCCATGCAAAGAAAAAAACTTTAATTGATCTCCTCTGTGTATCAAAATGGATATAACTTTCACAGTTGTGACCATTAGCATTTAAACTACATCTGTTTACTTTCACTCCCTATTTACAATTTTGTTTTTTCTTCAGTAGCTCAGGATAAGTTGTTAAGCTATGCGTTTCACAATCTGCTGTGTATTATAAGAACTTAATGGAAAAGGTACTTGACCGTAGTCGGCGTGACTGTCCTGGCTGTTACCATGGGGAGTAGCGAGCTGCAGTGAAAGCTGACAGCTTGTTCGGGGGATTCGGTTCCTGCTTGGTCTGGTTTTCTTGCCTTTCCTCCCTCTGTTCATTCTTCATGAGCACTTCTCCTAAAGAACCTTTTAAAACAGATGAAATTCATCTTGTTTGGGGGCTACCTCTGTTTATTAACTCAGGAGACTGAAGATAGTAGTGAACTCAAGCATTTGTCAGGGGAGCGGTCTGGGTGTTTGGGCTACATGTTTTCTATGGACCTACCACTGTTCTTAGCAGCTTGTTAGTGTCTGTCAGGAAGTGGAACTGGTCTCCACACTCTTGTTATTTCAGGAAGGTAGCGTCAGCAGGTCTGTCCCCGGGCCTGCATCCCTCTCCCCCAGCTTCTTAAGGAAAACAAGGAGGGACTCTGTAATAAAGTGTCAGCAGAGACAAGGGCCCACGTGGGGGTACGTCTGACTGGTCATCTCTGGGTGATGTTTATGTTGACATGAATATGAAGCCTGCTGGAGCTGGTCGATCACTGTGACCACCTCTAGGGGGAGCAAGCAGTTATGGGGTTGTTGTGGTGGTCTATTCAGATGCCTTCTCTCGGGGTGTCAGCCGCACCAGCCACTGGCTCTCCCGTCGCTGGTGGTGCTCAGTGGTTCCTCTCTCGGGCAGGAAGGAGCTGACCGCTGACGCCCGGGAGCTCAAGGGGGAGCTGTACTGCCTGCCATGCCACGACAAGATGGGGGTGCCCATCTGTGGTGCCTGCCGCCGGCCCATCGAGGGGCGTGTGGTGAACGCCATGGGGAAGCAGTGGCACGTGGAGGTGAGTGCCCATGGCGGGGTGACTGGGCCCTCACACACCCAAGGCTCGGGGGTGCCAGCACGGCTGGGGGATGCTGAGGGGCGAGTGGGGGTGCTTGGCGACAGTCAGCAATGTGGAGTACTAAGAATGTAGATGGCACAGTGCTGTGATCAGCCTGTGACGGTGCGGGGAGACCTCTTGGTTCCAGGTCCAACCCAGAGAGGCGTCCACATGTTCGCTCAGTTCTCATTCTGCTGTTGAGTCCAGGCCTCCGGATGCTGGATGAGGGCTGGGAGCACCGCAGGCTTGCTTGTGACCCAGATGACACCAGCGCCTAGGCTTTCATGGATCTTCTCTTTAGCTCTGGGGCTTTGCTCTGCTACATAAATAAAACATGGTGATGCAAATATGACCTCATGCCATTTCTTTCAGCATTTTGTTTGTGCTAAGTGTGAGAAGCCATTCCTTGGACATCGCCATTACGAGAGGAAGGGCCTGGCGTACTGTGAAACCCACTACAACCAGGTAGAGATGGGCTCTTTGAATGTGACACACACTTATGTGAACTTGAGCTTCTCCACACTTAACGTGCAAAGAGAGCTCTGGGGAAATGTACACTGGGCTATACACATGGCTTTTTAACTTTTTATTTGGAAAATCACTTCACACTCAGAGAAAAGTGGTAAATACATACAAAGAAAATACCTACATGTTGTACTCAGATTCAGTACCTGCTTCATCACCTGTGTGTCCTTCCTGCCTTCTCTGACACACACATAAATGCTCATCCTATTATATGCAAGTCAATGTATACGTACAAAAGTGTGCCGATTCTTTTCTAAAGCGTTTGATGATAAATTCCCTGTGGTCCTTTACCCCTAATGCTTCAGTGTGTACTTCCCAAGAATATGGGACTCACTTGTATAACCACTGTTACAAGTATTGATTACTCTGTCCATTCCAGTTTTGTCACTTTACCGAGTAATGTCCTTCTGGCCTTTTTTCCACTCCAGTGCTGGGCCCAGTCTGGGGTTCTCATGCTCCTTTACCATCCTGAAATCTGGAACATCTCCAGAGCCTTGTTTTGTTTTTCATCAAGATAAATAGTAAATTGTTTTCATTGTAGTAAGTAAAAACTAGTCAGTTAGCATTTACTGATCATCTCTATTAACAGCAAATTCTGAGTTTAGGTAGCCAGGCTATTTTTTTTTTTAATTGAAGGATAATTGTTTTACAATATTGTGTTGGCATCTGCCACACATCAATGTAAATCAGCCACAGGTATACATATATCCCCTCCTTCCTGAAATCCCCTCCCATCTCCCATGCTTTCCACTCCTCTAGGTGGTCACAGAGCACTCGGTTGAGCTCTCTGTATCACACAGAAGATTCCCTCTTGCTATCTTTTTTACATATGGTACTGTATATGATTCTACACTGTTCTTTCAATTCAATGGAATATTACACAGCTATAAAAAAAAGAAATCATTTGCGTCAGTCCTACTGAGGTGGATAAAGCTAGAGCCTATTATACAGAGTGAAGTCAGAAAGAAAAATATTGTATGTTAATGCATGCATATGGAAGCTAGAAACATGCTGGAGGGTATTTAAGTTGTAGGAAGAACTGAAATTATATTAAATGTTTGGTGTTCTGATACTTAGTTGTAACATATCTTTAATTTTACTACTTTTTTTTTTGTCTTTTCCCGTTTCCAGCTATTTGGTGATGTTTGTTTCCACTGCAACCGTGTTATAGAAGGCGATGGTGAGCACCTGTCAGGCACCTTTGGACCCCAAACCCCCCGGTTGTGTGAAAACTGGAAAATGTTGTGATGGTCATCAGTTACTTTTCCTCTTTCTTTGGCGTCTTTCCCGAGTGATCTCTGGCCGTGAAATGCTAACTCCTAAGAATTGAACTTGTTGCTCATTTGTGATGACACTTTAGGCCAGTGCTGCAGGGTCGTTACCATAGAAATGACTGACTCCGAGTCTTGCTTCTCCCTCCCATCCCTGGAATTACTTTCCGTGGAAGCTTCGGGGTGTGTTCATTAGGAGCACTTGAGCGGGGGCGGAGGCGGGGGGTGGTCCCTGAACCATGCAGATGTGAACACCTGGTGGTTGTCTCTGGACCTTTCCAGAACCTGCCCCCTGGTCCCATGTGAGGAGGCCTGATTGACTAGCATGGAAAGGAAGCAGCTGTTTGCCAGCAGTCATTAGCAGATTTTGCCAGAAGCTTCCTGGTGAAGTTGTAAACACTGCTGTTTCCAGCCCGCTTCATGCCTCTGGGCAGAGAGCCGAATTTGGGAAATACTTTCTGAAACACTGCCCAAGTGCCCTTTGTGAAGGGGTGGCTTCAGGAAAGTGATCGTTAGTGCCGGTGGAAATAAATCTCACCTCCGTCTGTGGGAGGCAGTTGTCAGGAGAGAGAAGTGGGCAGAGGAGCTTAATGTCAGCTTGGAAGGCATACTCACCCCAGCTGGTGGGTTAGCACCTGGCTCCTGTTTCAATTACTTGCCTAGTTCAGACTTCCTTGCTGAGCCAGTGGCAGGAGGCAGGTAGCAGTGCCAGGAGAGCTGGGCTGCACCTATGCGGCTGGGGGGTGGGGGCTCTGATGGGGAGACTTGGCATCTGCTGTTCGGATGCCTCGAAACATTAAGCATCAATATAGGTTGAAAGCAGTGATGGCCTTCCCTGAGGTGAGGCCTGCAGTTGTGGGAGACAGATGCAGAGCTGGGACTGTGTGTTCTCACAGTGTGATAGATAAATTAGTGAGTAACTTCAACTGATTGCATGAGCATCAGTTAACAGCACTGAGATGCTTAGTGTCATGTGTGGTTCTTGTGTGAGGAAAGCCCTAGAGAAGTGGCCCGGGGAAGGGGTTGGTGGTGAGCCGAGCTGCAGGTGAGTGACCATCCCCTTTCTCCCCAGTGGTCTCCGCGCTCAACAAGGCCTGGTGCGTGCACTGTTTTGCCTGCTCCACCTGCAGCGCCAAGCTGACACTCAAGTAAGTGTGCACGGGGCCTGCGAGCCCTCGGGTGGGACCCGCAGGGGACACTGTGGAGAGCATTCAGTGTCAGAAAAGAAAGACCTGACGCTTCTTTCTTCTTTCTGTCCAGGCCTTCTTAAAGCAAAGCTTGCTCCTTTAATCGTTCCCTGTTTTCTTTTGTTCCTTCTCTGTCCTGCACAAAGGGATAAGTTTGTTGAGATTGATCTAAAGCCAGTCTGCAAACATTGTTATGAGAAAATGCCAGAAGAATTTAAGAGGAGACTTGCCAAGCGGGAGAGAGAAGCCAAGGATAAGGACAAGCAGAAAAAGAAAAAGCCAGTCTGTCTGTGAGCTTTTCTGTCCCTCTGCCACCGTTTCTACTGCTTTCTCCTGTGGTTAGTCCTGTAGAATACATGTTCATCCTGGTTTTGTCTCTTGCTTTTCTCGTTTCTTTTTGGCATGTATTTGTAGCTGCCGGAGGCTGACATAGACAGGCTTGTCCTGTGTAGAGCTGATCTTTTTGCCTAATTATTAAAATTACACATTTTAATAGGGTCCACCCTTCACATAACCTGTACTGCACTTGCTTTCTTGAATCTGTAGACTCTCTCAGCTCATTTTTTAATCACAATATGGTATAGATTCCACCCCCCATCCCCCAGTGGATTCAAAGGGAAGAATTCTAATCTCTTAATAGATATTGTAAAAGTTTCAAAGTATTTCTGTCTGATCATCACAGCTTTTAAAATCCTAGTTTTTGGCTTCTTTGCCTAAAATAATTTAATTGGTCAGTTCCAGTGCTGCATGTTCTAAGTTCCGTATTAAACTAAACCCTCTCAGCATGTTTCCTATCTAAGCAAAGATCATCTAATGTAGAGAGTAAGATATGGCATCTCTGGATGTGTGTATGTGTTTTTGTACAATTCCTGGTTTTCACAGGACATATTTCAGTCTTTGAAATTCTCTTGCATTGTTAGAAAGACTGTCTCAGTTCTTCATAGGGACCATTGTGTGCTGAGTTCTAAAAGTTTTTTGTTTCAGTTTTCAAGTTTCCTTTGACAAAGAAAAATTAAAATTCAGATATAAAATGAAAACAATATAAGGTTTGTTTAGCAGGCTTCCCTGGTGGCTCAGTGGTAAAGAATCCACCTGCCAAAGCAGGAGATGGGGGTTCAATCCCTGAGTTGGGAGGAGCCCCTAGAGAAGGATATGGTAACCCACTCCAGTATTCTTGCCTGGAAAATCCCATGAACAGAGGAGCCTGGCAAGCTATAGTTCATAGGGTCTATAGAACACTTTGGGAGAACTTTTTAACTCAATAGCACTATTTAAATCAAATTGCCAATTAAAACATAACATCATTTAAATTATTGTCATCATTAGGATCTCTGGAAAAAAATCAGAAAATAATTCTCACATGGTGTTTTTAAAAAAAAGTTTTTCATTTAAAATATGTGGTCAGGATTTAACTTTGTTATTTTTGTTGTTCTTTAAAATTGTATCAACAGATGTAATAATTTGTAACAGATAACAGTGTGTCACTGAACTTGTCCCACACGTTTCCTAGATGTAATTTCACAGAAATCCAACTAGTTAGAAAGTTCTGCGTTTGTTCCATTCACAATTAGGGACCCACGATCTCAACAGCTATGAGCCCTGATAGCTGTTAACTGGAAATGCATCACCCATAGCTAGGAGGCCTTCTCAACACCTGTCCGGAATTGTACAAGTGAATTGAGGGTGTGTGCTGTCCTGGCTTTTAAAGAATTGAGTTCTCCATATACACACCGATTACAGATGTGACCACATGCCACATGGTCCACTGGTGCTCTTGAATTTTCTGTGAGACAGCCAACCAAAGTAACCTAGATGTTAGTTTAGGTTTTTCTTTTTGAAGATGATCATTGTTGTTGGGATGGGAAGCCAGGCAACATGAAGCCTCATAGCTCCACCATGTAAAATACTACATGAGATACTTACACCTTCAATAAAGAGGATCAGTCTTATCAGAGAGATACAGTTCTTTGCTCTGAATAACTATTTTTTTAAAGTGCTCTCACAGTATTTTAAAACATGATTGACTTTATCTGAGTTTCATTCACGTTAGATTCCCTGCATACTTAGCACAGACTAAAATGTAATCAGCATTCTGTATCATACAGATCATTCTACAAGGTCAGTTTATAAGGGCAACTTTCTTCAAATGGTATTGTAGTTTATGTTTACCATAATGATTAGAATTGAGATTAGAATTAGTTTTTTTGCTAATATGAATATAGTTGTAATATGCATAATGTCTTCATTTACTTCAGTAAAATTACTGCATATTATCTGTATGTCAATATACAAATGTGAATACATTTCCACTAAATTTTTTTTATTATTATTAACTTTAGGAATAAATTTGTGGAGTTTGACATGAAGCCAGTCTGTAAGAAGTGCTATGAGAAATTTCCATTGGAGCTGAAGAAAAGACTTAAGAAGCTAGCTGAGACCTTAGGAAGAAAATAACTTCCTTTATTTTTTCTCTTCTATGCAAAGATGAGATCACAACATTGCCTGACCTGATGTACCCTGTCTTAAAGTTGTGTCTCAAAATAGTTGAGAGCGAAGAGGACCTATTGAATGGTGTTCTTTATCTCCTTTTTCTCATTAAAGAAAAAAAAAGTTTCTATCTTTAAACCATGGATGAGATCAAGATTTGCCTTTGTTAATAACCCTTATCAGTTTGTTGAAATGTAGATGATACATAATAGAAAAAAAAATGCTTAAATGTTAAATTTTAATTAAGGTCCAAAATATTAAATATAACTTTTAAAAATGAAAGGAGTCAGTTTTTACATGACTTAGATAAAAAACATATAAACATTAGTTCTTTGTATTCTAAAGAAAATTAATTATAACTGCAGTTGGGGAGGATATAAAAAAGAAAACCATATCTCACAGAATCTTAGTGTGTTTATCAAACTAGTGACTGTAAAATGAATATACACATTACTCAGATAAGAAACAAGTGTATTCAGAACTACTTGATTTGGGGACTTTTATTGTTATGGTTAACTGCAATAATTATTAAGCTTAGTTTTAATTTTTGTTCTCCTTTGTGAACTTCTTTATACAGTTACTTAACATAGTAGTTATAGCTAGCTAATAGTATTCTTTTTAAAATTTTGTTAAAAAAATTTATACTAGGTATTTGAAAATACAGTATACTTTACAATATTGGAAAAATGAAGTATTTTTTCATGTATTACAGCAATTATACTTTGAAGCTTAAAGTCACAGATGCAGTCTTAGAATAGGACATGAAATTAAATGTTAAGTAGTTTGGAATGTATCACTTAAAAACGTGAATGTTCATGTATTGATCATATTGCCTTTATAACCATGCTAATATCTATGCTTTATATATAAATAAACTTGCCTTGCCTTAGAAAAATACGTACATTAATCAGGAATTCTAGCTGTTTCATACCTTACAAACTAAAAACAAGTGCATTGAATGAGATTTGTAAACTCAAATTCATTTACCACAGCTATGATCATATTAAAATTTTTTTCTTCTTTTCGGGGAAACACATTGAAATTAATTTGTGATCTTAATTAGAAGATAATTATGTTGATATGTGTTTCAAGTTTTTCATTGCAAATCTTATATTTTATTTACTGTATGTAGGAGGTATAAGTAACACTTTTAAAATTGGAAGAGTGGTGTTTAAGTGTCAGCTTTAGGCCAGAAGTAGTGAATTATTTTATTTTGCAAAGTTTTATCTTAAAGTTTCTGGATGTCTTTCTCCATAAACCTATATGCAAAGAGAATTGTGAACATTTTTTAAATGTTGCTGCTACTATGTTATCATGTAAAAGAAAGTTGCAAAGATGGGCTTCTAAGGGGAAAATTATTGGTTTTTTCAAAAACATTGCTGAAATGTTATTTTGCCATAAAAAAAAAAAAAAATCTCAGGATGCTACCAGTCTGCCATTAAGATATTTGTATGCATGTATTTTTAAATACTTGTGCATGCACTTTACAGTAAATTGTATTTTAGTTTTTAGTTCATTTATAACCAATTAATTTTTTTTAGTGCTCTTTTAGAGTTCAAAGAATGATCAGTGATAGAAAATAATATATACTTTAAGACTGTGCTCAGAAGTCTGAACAGTCTTTGCATTTGACAGCAAGAATCAAATTCCCTTCAGTGTGCCTTTGTCAGCTAATACATGACCAGCAACAAAAATCTTTAAAGTATTTATTAAATACGGTACTGTGGATACAGTGCAGGATCTGCAGTCTAGGGTCTTGATGCTAAATTCCTGAATGCTCCCACACAGGAAATCCAGAGCAGAAAGCACCCACTTACCTGTGTTTCTAATCACTGGGAAGAGGCATGGGCTGAATCACTACAGGGTTCATGTCTCTCCCGTGCCCAGAGGTCCTGCTGCTCACCCCTCTCGTAAAATATGAGTTTGTCAGTGTGGAGATTTCTTAAAAAGCTGGAAATAGAACTGCCATATGACCCAGCAATCCCACTTCTGGGCATACACACCGAGGAAACCAGATCTGAAAGAGACAAGTGCACCCCAATGTTCATCGCAGCACTGTTTATAATAGCCAGGACATGGAAGCAACCTAGATGCCCATCAGCAGACAAATGGATGAGGAAGCTGTGGTACATATACACCATGGAATATTACTCAGCCATTAAAAAGAATTCATTTGAATCAGTTCTAATGAGATGGATGAAACTGGAGCCCATTATACAGAGCGAAGTAAGCCAGAAAGATAAAGACCATTACAGTATACTAACACATATATATGGAATTTAGAAAGATGGTAACGATAACCCTATTTGCAAAACAGAAAAAGAGACTCATGTATAGAACAGACTTGTGGACTCTGGGAGAAGGCGAGGGTGGGATGTTTCAAGAGAACAGCATCGAAACATGTATATTATCTAGGGTGAAACAGATCACCAGCCCAGGTTGGGTGCATGAGACAAGTGCTTGGGCCTGGTGCACTGGGAAGACCCAGAGGGATCGGGTGGAGAGGGAGGTGGGAGGGGGGACCGGGATGGGCAATACATGTAAATCCATGGCTAATTCATTTCAATGTATGACAAAAACCACTGCAATGATGTAAAGTAATTAGCCTCCAACTAATAAAAATAAATGGAAAAAAAAAAGGAAAAAAAAATATATATGAGTTTGTAATTCCTGCAGACTTGCCCCTTGAAGCCTCCAAGGCCATGGGGTGTTTTATCCAGACACACACTCCCTGCTCCCTGCAGGGGATCAGTGAGCCCTCACTCTCACCAGGAGTAAGGAGTAAAGGGTTGTCAGTGGATGAGAGGATGGATTTGCTTAGTTTCACATGGCTTCCTCCCAAAAGGGAGAAGCTCAGGCTAATGAACAAATCTTTGCTTAAATACTACAAGGCATTTGAAATAATTCATTGTTTACCACATTTCTAAGTGCTCTTTTCTTTATCAAGCCTAATAGGGAAAATGTCTGGGTACGAGTCAAACATTCTTTACATCTTATTAACATTGTAACTGATGGTAGGTCATTTTGCCTTATTTGTTTGCCAAAACAGCAATTTCTAAATTAAGGAAATTTTGAAGTTGGCTTACAGCATTGTTGTATTTCATTTTCGATTGTAAGCTCAATGGCAGGGACACTATGTCAATAATTGTGTTTTTAAATAGCAACCAGTGCAGTATACTCTTGGTGCTTAATAAATGTTCATAATTGTTAAGAATAACTGTTGTGTTTTGCTTAACTTGAATGGCTTTGAGACATGGAACCATAAGGGTATAGGACTAGTGCTTAAGAAAGCCATTTTGGAAACAGCCTAAGTGTCCACTAAAGGAAGAATAAATGAGAAAATGTGGTCTGTGTAACAATGGAATATTATTCAGCCACAGATAAGTCATCTTGCTATTTACAACAGCATGGATAGGACACTGCTAAAAAGTCAGAGAAAGACAAATATTGTATAATCTCACTTATATGTGGAATGATTAAAAAAACCAAGCTCATTGATAGAGAACAGATTGGTGGCCGTCAGCGGCAGGGGGCAGGGGGTGGGGGGTGAGGGTGGGCAAAATGGGTGGAGAGGGTCAAGAGACACAAACTTCCAGTTATAAAATATATAATTCATGGAGACATCATGTACAGCATGGTGACTATAGTTATTAATATGTATTACATTTTTTGAAAGTCGCTAAGAGAATAGATCTTAAAAGTTCTGATTACAAGAAAAAATTTTGTAACTGCATGATGACCAATGTTAACTAGACTTTGTGATCATTTTGCAATGTGTACAAACATGGAATCATTATGTTGTACACCTGAGACTAACATATTACATGTCAGTTATGCCTCAATTTAGAGTGCCACATTTCTTTTTTTTAAGCTGTTTTAACCTATTATGTATGTAGTTTTTTCTGTAACAAAGTTTAAGTAGTGCTGTATCTAAATCCATGTTAAAAACAAGTCAAACAGCCTTTGTGTACACAGGGTATCTTCCTTGAGGTGACACCATGTTACTTAATCCTGACCCCTACCCAGGGCTGTGATGTCAAGGAGGCCCTTTGAAGTTCCCTGGCAATTTAATGGAGAGGGGGTAATGCTGGAGCAATTGGCCATCCAGATGCACGAAAAAGGCTCCTGACATAAGCCTTCCAGTTACTGAAAAGATGAACTCAAAGTGGGTCATATATCTAAATATAAAGTGTGAGATAAATCTTTGTGACCGGGGGTCATGAGTTCTTATGCCACAGCAAAAGCATGATTCAGAAAACAAAAAACTGACAAGTTGCACTTTATCAAAATCAAAAACTGTCTCCTTAGTGGAAGATGCTGGTGAGTTACAATGTATAACTATAATGTATAATGTATAAGTATAATGTAGTTACAAACTACAGACTGTGAGGAAATGTTTGCCAATCACATGTTTGAAAGAACTTGCAATCAGAATACCTAAAGTCCTCACAAAACTCAGCAGTCAAAGAAATAGTGAGACAACAGTCAATGAAAATTCAATAATCAACATAAGAAGAATAAAAGAAGTTTTATTCGAGCCAAACTGAGGATTGTAACCTGGGAAGCCGATTCTCAGGAGCCCTGAGAACTGTCCCACCTGTTAGATGTCTATTCAGTTCACTTCAGTCATTCAGTCATTCAGACTCTTTCAGACACCATGGACTGCTGCAGACCAGGCCTCCCTGTCCATCACCAACTCCCGGAGTTTACTCAAATTCATGTCCATTGAGTCAGTGATGCCATACAACCATCTTATTCTCTGTCGTCCCCTTCTCCTTCCGCCTTCAGTCCTTTCCCAGCATCAGGATCTTTTCAAATGAGTCAGTTCTTTGCATCAGATGGCCAAAGTGTTGGAGTTTCAGCTTCAACAGCAGTCTTTGCAATAAATATTCAGGACTGATTTCCTTTAGGACAGACTGATTGGAACTCTTTGCAGTCCAAGAGACTCTCAAGAGTCTTCTCCAACA